TCATGTTTTGTATAGTGTACGAGCAGTGGCGGAACGAGAAAAAAGGACCACACCGCGAAAAATTCTTTTGGGCCCCCATATATCAGAGGCGTAGCTACCGTTCCCGGCGACCGGGGACAAACTTTCGATTTGCACCCCCCCCCCCTCCCCTAAGCTTTCGATTTGCACCCCCCCCCCCCCCCTTCGCTACGCCTCTGTCATATATTTATATATAGATTTATATAAATTAAGGTCGGCTGTGGGCCCCTAAACTGCCTGGCCCCCTCCCCCGCATTGCGGGGTCTGGTGGCACTGTAGTTCCGCCCCTGTGTGCGAGCCGACCCGCGGCGTATCATATACCGCTATTTAGTTGTTTTATTTTCTACTTTTCAGTAATTCATAACTTGTGAATTCGACAGTACCATCGCTGCCACTGAAAATATTTGCTTTAAAACACTATCAGTAGGTCGTTAAGGACGATACCTACCCACACTCCTTTTCCCCAACCCCTACACTACACCCCCCACCCGTGAAAGCAGCCTACACTTAGTTACCTCCCCTAAGTTTAAAATCGTTTCAAACTAAATTATCTGCCCCTAATAGCTGTCACTAAACCCGACTACGATTGTAAACATTTAGCGTGAACTACAGCTCACCAGACCGTTTGGGAGTGGGGGTGGTAGGTATATGCCTAGAGAGGAAGAGAGGGGGCTGCTAGGCGCGCTTACAGCTTGGTGTTTTCTATGGTCTCCATGAAGAGAATTATATATATAGAAGATAGATACTATATTTTAAAATTATTAAACTGTATTTACAAAACAGAGTTTATGCTTCTGTGCTTAGCCTAGCCGTGTTTTATTTTATTGTAACACAAATGTACTTAGAGAAATGTGACACACATGAACATGGAGGAATGTGAAACAAAATAGCAGAAAAAATGTTGAGGGTAGTATTTGCAGGCATTAAAATTGTAGTGGACCGCATTGTTTTATATTCATTAGGACAAACATAAATAAAAATTACAGATTGTTTACTATGCATTCAATTATACGAAACTGAGAGAAAAGGTAACACAAACATGGCTATACGTGTGTTACAAATCCTTAAAGAGAAATCTGATACGAATTCGGAGAGATTGTAACTTTTGTTTCTTGCTTAGGAATAATTTACATGAACATTTTCACTTAAGACTGTAAGATTGGAACATTTTATTAAAAAAAATGGAGTTCAAAAATAGAATATATGTGTTACCCTTTAAAAAATGTTTAAACATATCTTCAAATACTTTTTATATTGCATTGTGGGCAGTAGTGGCAGAGAGAATTATTGTATTGGTCCACTTTGTATCATTTTTCAAAAGAACCTAAATAACAATAATACATTGTTTTATATGCATTTTAAATATACATTAACGGGCATCAACAAGATAGGCCTACATTTAATTTGGTAAAACCAGGCAAAAATTTAGATTCTGAGGCGAAGTGGAGCGGTAGAAAGAAATCTAAGTAAAAAAAAAAAAAAAAAAAAAAAAAACCACTAAACAACTGCATTCATAAAAGAAAAACATAAAATTAGGCCAAAGTTTAGGCAATGCCTTGTGTGCTGTGTATTATACAAACAGTTTAGTACTAATCCTTAATTGGAAAAAATTATCGGGTACTTAGAAGACGAGATTTAAACTCATGTCTTTTGGGTTAGAGGTCGTTTAACAAGCTACTCGACCACACAGTCCCTGATTCACAAACTGTCTCAAATTTTAAAAGAAATCTCTAAATGAGCATTACATACATTGTCAAGTTCTATAAGTTTGTGTTTTATTTATTTTAACAGCATTCACACTTTTGTTTGAAAAATGTAACGTAAAGACCTTTTATTGTTTGCAAGAATAGTTGTATTGTGTATTCTTTATTTTAAAATAACTAAACTGTATTTTAAAAAAAAAAAGATTTCATGATTCTATGCTAAGCATAGGTGGGACGTTCTCACAGAGAATAAACCGGGAGTGATCTCCCCTAAACTTTCTCGAATATTTTTATATAAAATAACAGGGGATGGGAACTCGGGCTATAGACATGATTTTTAATCCATTTTAAATACTTAAGGTTTTAAAAATAGAATAAAATCTCGTAGACAAAAGAATTGCACACCGAGTGAACGCGAAATAAAAAAAGTGCATAATAGTGCGCAATATTATTAGTACTTTAAACATTTACATTCGTTTTTTGAGAAATCGGAAGTAGCGTAAATTACTACTTCCAGTCAACGGAAATTACTCAAAATTTAACAGAAGGTAGAGAATTAGATCTTTTACTGACATGTGAAATTTCATTTATCTATCTGAAATAGTACTCAAGTTATAGGCTTTTGAAAAATTCAAAGTAGGAAAAGTACCACTTCCGGTTATCGGAAATCGCTCAAAAGTTGACACCTATCTACGATTTTGATAAAATACTTATATATGAAATTTCATCAACCTAGCTGTAACGGTACTCAAGTTATCGTGTTTACACACGGACACACACACAGACAGAATTGGATAATCCAGTTTTTCCAACTCCATTACGCATAAAACGCCCAAATTTTTATATATCTGAGTTTATAATTTTTGCCCGATTAAAATAAGTCTTCTATATCCCGGATGTGATGAAGGACTGAGGAGTAAAACGGTGAAAAGTGTCCAAATTTAATGTGATTTTTGTGCACGATTACAAGACTTTCTCTATACTTCGTATATACGAGAAAGTAAAAAGGTCGTGACACAAATTCACAGAGAGAAATGTTACACAAACAAGCATGGAGTGATGTGAAATAAATTGGTAGAGAAAAATGTTGGCATTTTTAGACATTAAAATTGTAGTGGGTCGTATTGTTTTATATTTTATAAGACCAACATAAAAAACATTACCGATTGTTTAATATGCATTTAGTTATACGACAATGAGTTAAAAGTAACACAAATTCATGGAGTCAAATGTGCTACAAAAGTAGAGAGAAATGAACTACAAGTACGTAGAGAGAATTGTGTTACAAATCCGCAGAGAGAAATAATAGAAATTCAACGAGATGAATATAGTCGTGAACCGCATTAAGTTACAACAGAAAAATATATTAAAGAATAAAAATTGTGTAAGATATAAAGTTTAATTATAACTCGATCAGAAAAAATGTCTACTAAAACTCTACTACAAATATTCTTGGGTGTCGTGTACCTCAATTGATTGTTTTTTACAAGGGGGCGGGTTTAGGCTTGGTTGTGTGAACACGTTATTGACTAGAACACGTAGATTTGAACACGTGTCTAGTGGGTTAGCAATCGTGTGCCCTACCACTCGACCACATATTCCGCAATTTGGATGTTTTTTATATCTTAATTAATGCTCTAGCTTTGCATCAGAATTGTTGATTGGGATTGTGAATTTCGTTTCTTGCTTAGGAATAATTTACATGAACATTTTAACCAAAGATTGTAACGTTTGAACATTTTGTAAAAGAAAAATGAAGCTGAAAAAAAGTATACAAATGTCAAATGGTCTACTTTTAAAAATGTTGAAACCTATCTCCAAACTCTTTTTATATTGCATTATGGGCCGAAGTAGCAGAGAGAAATTTTGTCGTATGCCACTTTGTATCATCTTTTAAGGGGGCAGTATCACCCAGACTAAGGGAGGGAAACAGAAACTATCACCAAAAAAAATTATTTGACATACACATGTAATTTTTTTACAGCAGTAGTAACGTTTCTTCTGCTATAATACAGTATATAAATTGTAGGGTATATGTATGGCAACAAAGTTAATATTTTATTACATTTTGAATTTTTTTGTAAACAATTTTTTTGAAACCATAAGTAAAGTCCTTAAAATTTGGTATAAAGCTTCCTTGCGTTATATGTTATGTCTGGGAATAATAGAATTCTACAATGAACATAAATATCGATCTTGATAAAAAAACAACTGTTGTTGTTATAGAAAAAAAGTAAATCTGGAGTGATCTCCCCTTAACTTTCTCGAAAATTCATTTATAACACTACGGAGGATGGCAACTTGGGATATAGACAATAATTATTTTTAATCAATTTATAATTACTGTTTATAATAGAATAGAATCACGTAGAAAAAGGAATTGCACACCAAGTGAACTCCGAACAAAATGTGCATAATAGTGCGGGATATTATTAGTACTTTATAAATTCACATGCGTTTTTTTTTATGAATCGGAAATAGCGTAAGTTACTACTTCCGGTCAACGGAAATTACTCAATATTTGATAGAAGGCAGAGAATTATATCTTTTACTTATATCTTTTACCTGTTTTCTAGTCGTTAAAAATATATATATTTGACGCAATGAAGTAATGAAAAATAAATAAAAAAAAACGTTTTAAAGCAAGCTTTTAATGCACTAGAAAGTAGAAAATAAATGATTGTATTTAAATATATAATAATACACTACAAATTAAATAACAAAAAGATTTAAGACACATGAACTTCATAAGGGGAGATAGTCCTTCCCTTAATGCACTATATTTAAGCAAGCACTTTTAATTTTCACCCCTAGTTCAACCAATTCTACCAGATCAATTATTTCTTAATTTTTAATATAATATATATGTGTAGTTAATTTTTGTTTGTATTTAATTAAGATTTAATTTAGTACTTTAATAAATGCTAAAATAAAAACTGGTATTTTTTAAAGAATATTTTAGGAATTAGTATAGGCCGACAGCATCATAATCAATTACAGTAAATGCCACTTTTTCTTACAAAATATTTTTAATAGATTAGATTTAAGAAAACATGCAAAGGATGCGGTTTGGTGTAATCCAATACAGATATACCAACTATTTTTTGAGACTAAGAGAAGGGAAACCACCCAAGGATTATTACCCACCAGAGAAAACTGGCAATGAATTAATGCAAGATTACATAAGAAGACATTTAAAGTATTGTACTTTATTTCTATTAAAGAATAAAAATTTGTGAAAAAAAATAAAAAAATAAAAATAGATCAGATAACTCTCATTTCCACTAAATATACCGCCAGCAGATATAAACGATTATTAAATTATTATTAAAATGACTTCGTTTAGGACTACAGACTCTAAACGAGAAGAATTTAGAAAATATCTGGAAAAGACCGGAGTCCTAGACTGTATTACTAAAGTCCTGGTGGTGCTGTATGAAGAACCAGAGAAACCTAACAATGCTATGGATTTCTTGCGACAAAATTTGAATGCCACTGGACCTAAGACAGCAGACGTTGAGGCTCTGAAGCTTGAGGTCACTGAACTCAGGCAGAAATGTGAAAAGTTGCAAGAAGAAAACAATGACCTCAAAGCACGGCTTCAGCAGCTGGAACCAGCGACTGAGCCAGAGATTCCAGAAAACTGAACCAGAGAAAACGGGAACAGGACATTACCCCCCCGTTAATTACCCCCCGGACATTCCCCCCCCCCCCCGTATTTACCCCCCGGAGCAATTACCCCCCTGTCAATTACCCCCCAATGTAATTACCCCCCTTCCCCAAACTATATATATATAGAATATATATAACAAAATCTAAATGTACAAACATGAATAAAGGTTAAAATAAGCAACATAAAATATAAATTTTTGAATTTTTATTTTCTGAAATAAAAAAAACAAAAGGAAAACTTACAAACATTAAAAAATATATACAACAAAATCTACAAAAGGAAAACTTACAAACATTAAAAAATATATACAACAAAATCTACAAAAGGAAAACTTACAAACATTAAAAAATATATACAACAAAATCTACAAAAGGAAAACTTACAAACATTAAAAAATATATACAACAAAATCTACAAAAGGAAAACTTACAAACATAAAAAAATATATTTCCTGTCCATTCATTGCTTTAAGTGTAAAATATCTGTACCCCTATCGATAAACAGAAACTGTTTTTTTTATAAGTTTAGAGCCCTGTTCAGGGTTTGAAAGAAGCAGAATGGAACCATGTATATATTTTACACACAATTAAAAAGAAATCAATAAAAAAAAAAAATATATATATATATATATACAACAAAATCTAAATGAACGTAAATGAATAAAATAAAATAAACTGACAACATAAAATAGTACATTTCTGAATTAGAAAATGGAGGAAAACTTACAGACATTTAAATTTGAATATTGTAAGCTATCCCTCTTAAATAGTCCATGTAATTTCTGTTGGCTAGTCCTTAACGATGTTTAAAATACGAGAATTCGTGTTACGATATTTTGTTCTTGGTGGTTCTACTGGGTGTCCGCCAAGCCGTTGACCGATGACCACTTAGTGTAAACAATGCTCGCGTTTGAGAATATTGATGAAGCGCCAGATATTAGGATGGTCAGCAGCAACTGCAGCTTGCATTTTACGGTGCCAACCCTCGACGCTGTTGTTGGTGCGAGGTAACTCATTTTCCACCCTGTGGTGTATGTTCCAGATGTGAGGCTCATAAAGGGGAGCAGCTCGGCCTCGACGTCTTACTCTTCCAATATAATTATCCTCAAAATAATCCAGCAGTTGCTGAATTTCATTGCTATTTTCCGTATGTTCTCGAAGTTCTTCAAACACATCTACAACATCTGCTATTGGCACAAAAGCCAAAGCACCTATCATCCTTACCATGACGGCGAAATCTGCTTCATCCACGTACTTTGTTTGAAATCCAAGAGCCTGTACTTTTCGGTATAGGCTCTGTGTCAAATGATAAAAACAGCCTTGGATTTGTATGCCTTCATAACATTCAGAAACAACATTAATGGCGGATTTTTCATAATCCAGCATAGCTGAAATAGGCCGGGCGGCCGGCATTAGTTCTTTTAATTTCATAAAAAGACGGCGATAGGTTTCCGTCGTTTTGTTTGGCAGCAAACAGTACAGGCATGCAATGACATCGCCGCTGAAGAGGGCATGAACTGTATATAATTGGAAAAATATCTCAGGCACAATGCTAAAGGTTCCATCCATAAACCAATGTAAAGATTGTTCTAATAAAGAGGATGATTCATTAGTGCCAAATATTAATATTCTGTTTTTGTCACCAACACCACTATCAAATAATAGGAAATTCTCACCACTAGATAGTTTCTTGTATTCATCCGGCAGTTCAATGGTAGAGCGATCGGTTGGAAGAGGATGTTGAACATGATTAGTTTGTCGCTGTTTTCGAATATGACGCCGCAGATGTGGAATAGTAACCATCTGTACAGACGCTGCTTCGCTGAGATTTTGCATCTCTCTACCAAGAATCTGTTGGGGTGTTTCCTCTGTTTCCAGTGCCCTTTTTTTAATATTGTGTCGAACTTGAAGAATTTCACATTGTGTTACATCTGATGCATGTGTGTGTTCATGGAGAAATCCAACAACAGTGTCGTTTTTAATTTTAATCTTTGCTTTGCATTCAGACATTTTTGTTCCATTTCCTCGACGCTTTTCACATTCATAACTAACCACACCTCCTGCTAAATCTTTTTGTTTAACATAAACATATCCATTGTGCATCACTTTTTTAATCCCACGAATACTAAGAACTTTATCCATGCTTAAATACGAATAACACAAAATTTAGTTTCTCTTATTTTGAATCATAGACAGATCGAATATTTCAGATGACTTGCATTTATCAACTGATGCGTCGAACGAATCTACCCAAAATATATACCCGACACCGCGGTAGTGACCGACTATGAAGTAGACAACAAAAGAGAAGCCGCCTTTTGTTTGACGCGACACCGTGGGTCAACGCAAAAGACAAACCGACGGACATCAAACGCAAGCCCTATGAGCAGCGGCAACACATTTAGGGTGTAGCAAATTTCATTCGTCTGCCACACAAGTCCACTCCCCACACATGGTGCCTTCCAAAATTAGAATTATATGTACTTCAAAAGTTAAAACCGACTGGACATAAAAAGACAACGTCAAAAGACAAACCGACGGACATCAAACGCGGCAGCACATTTAGGGTGTAGCAAATTTCATTCGTCTGCCACACAAGTCCACTCCCCACACATGGTGCCTTCCAAAATTAGAACTATATGTACTTCAAAAGTTAAAACCGACTGGACATAAAAAGACTACATAAAGAGCGGCACCACATTTAAGACTTACATTTTCCTTATTAGCTTTTAAAATCCACTCCTTCACAATAAATCAAGCCCACATAAGCAGTGACATTCTCAATCTCCTATACATATTATGATATTAAGTTGACCGTGGTGAGGGGGGGGGGGGGGTAATATCCTACTGCTGTTTTTTGGGCGGGGGGTAATGTCTTGGGGGTAATTGACAGGGGGGTAATTGCTCCGGGGGAAAATACGGGGGGGGGGGGGAAATGTCCGGGGGGGGGTAATTGACGGGGGGTAATGTCCTGTAGCCAGCCAGAGAAAACAGCCAAGCATCCTACTTTATTGAAAGCCTTACTAGCAGCCACCTCATTTGTTGTTTAAATATGGCTCCACTCAGTATTAACTTGGATTCTAATTCTTTAAAGGGTGATGGATAATATGCTGGAAATTTCCTGCAATTCAAATTGTCTCAATAAACTGGAACACAATCAAAAAAAAAAAAAAAAAAAAAAAAAAAAAAAAAAAAAAAAAAAAAAAAAAAAAAAAAGAAAGGATCAGAACCCCCCCCCCCCCCACTCAACCGCACAGGCGGATATTTCAAGGTAGCATGCCTTCATCGCCAAGGGTCAATTTAATGTCATGGACATTTTTGGAATGATAGTCCAGTTTGAGTATTACAGAGACACTTCTCCCACGGTCGTTTCTATTTCTGTCCATGGGTGTCTACAATGTGAACTTTTGACACCACAGCTAAGGACTGAGCACAGTAAACTAAGCAGTGAAGAGAAACCGAGTTTGCACACCTTATTTTAGTCTCGTCTTATGCCATTTTATTTTCTCTCTTTGATTATTATATATGCAATTAATGTTCATTTCTTTGATGCTGTGTAAAACTATCAAACATATAAAAGAAAAAAAAAATAGATCAGGATGAATAATATTCTGTTTGCTAGCTTTGAGTAATACAAGATTTTTTATATTTATTTTAAAATAACAGGTTTACTATTTTCAATCTATTTACTCAAAGTAGTTAGAGGTTAATGAAGACGGAATTATTATAGAACAACAGTTTTGAAAGCTATAGTGTTTCATATTAAAAATATATGAATTAAATAAATTTTATTGCCAAAAAAAAAAAAAAAAAAAAAAACGTATTCTGACTTTTTAGCAAGAGAACAGTCGGAGTTAGCCGGTCTGGAAGATGATAACTTTGGCGAAGGGCAACAGTTCACACAAGACTTTGATGGGTTTGCACAAAATCAAGAACAAGTAACAGTGGCTCAGAGTAATGGGCCAAGTAACATGTATGAGGCAATATCCCAGCAAGATACCACGAGAGCAGTTCCAGAGAAAATAAAAATCTGGCGTGAAGAACAAAAGACAAGACTGGAGAAAAAAGACTCTGAAGAAGAAAAGCGTAAAAAAAGAATTGAAAGAGAAAGCAAAGAAAGAGCTTGATGACTGGTACAAACATCACACGGAACAGTTGGAGAAAACAAAAGAGAACAACAGGGCTGCTGAAACTGTATTTGTCAAGGATCGTGATGAAAAGGTCACCGGTCAAGCATGGGAGAAAATAACCCGCCTTTGTGAATTTAACCCAAAGAACTCAAAGAACACAAAAGATGTATCTAGGTTCAGGTCTATCTTGTTGCAACTGAAACAGACACCATTAGTGCGTTAGGTATTGTGTGCAATTAGAAGCTGATTGTACATTTGTCATTTGTATGTTAGTCACCAGCAAATGTTTTAATAATTATGGTATATAAATGTCCAACTTCTAAAATAAAATATTAGTTTTCAGTGAATAAGTAGAATTATTTCTGCAGAATAAATGTTTTTATAGTGTGTATCCTCTTAGCTTTTGAATGTTAGATATTTTAGCCAATTTTTTTTTCCAGAGTATGTATTTTAGTACAAGATAAAATGTAGAAAACTATGCCATTAGATAGTTATATTGCAAAAAATAGAAACATTTCCACTGGTATCTAAGTTTTTATTTTGGCTGCAACCCTAATTAAAGTAAATTATAAAGAGACGTTTAAAATGACCAATTTGTGTTTGTGAGTGTAATGAATGAAAGGAGGAAGTATTGTTTATTTATATAATTATTATTTTTTACCTTTCACATAATCTGGATATTAATCTGTAAAAATCATGTCAACAGATTATTACAGAAATATCAAATTCATGTTCCTTGGCATTAGAAAATATAAATTGTTATATTTGGTAAGAACTTAGAATTCTCAATTATTCATTCTTCAAAATTGTCTCTCTATAGATAGTTGCCGCTGTTTTATATCTAGTGTGTATAGATCAATGTTGTCTTTATCTCATGTTTAGCCTGTAAAATAATTTTCTTATTCTATGAACTTAACCTTAGTATACCCATCACTTGTACCCTACCCTTATCCTTTGTTCCAAAAATGCAAATATTGTTTGGCTGTTCGTGGTGGGATCAGTTTTATTGTGATATTCACCGTGTCGTACATTCAGTTTATTCCATTACAGAAGCCTTGGTTGTTTGTTTTCTCTGATCATACATTGATCAACACTAAAGTAAGGAATGTTTTTTTTTTTGTTAAGTTGGGATTGCTGTCAGTGTGATGAGAAACCATGTTTATTGTCAGCCCATTTAATATTCACCATAACAATTAGTTGTTCTTTTTATGTACGACTGAATTAATTTATAAATAAAGAGACATGAGATTTAAAAAAAATTTAAAAAAAAATAAAAAATAAAAAAAACTTATTGTTTTTCGTGTATTTTACATAAATTAATGGGAAGCAACAACGTACATTTAGTTTGGTAAAACTAAGCAAAGTTATATTGAGAACGCGTTGTATTATATTCTAAAGGAAAAACATAAATAATAACACACTATTTTTAAAATTGTGTATTTTAATTATACGTCGATCTGAAACGACAATTTGCGTTTCTTATGCAAACTGTTTCTGGTTTATTAGGGCGGAGATGAATCATAGTGTTTATGTGATATAGAAATGTCTTAAACCCCCTAATTAATGTTTAGTAATTAGACTTACTTACCTAGCTTAAATAATGTAGGGTGATGACGAAATCATAAGAAAAGCCAATTTTTGCTCACAATTATTGTATACATTCATTTACAATAAATTAGGTCTTGAAATTTGATGAAAAACAGACTTGCTCTTGTACAGAGTATAACAAAAACTAACAAAGATATTCAAATAAAACTTAGCACCAACATTATTTATTCCCTTAAGAATATAATGAACTAAAAAAAAAATTAAGTTGGCATATCAAATTTTGTTTTTTTTTTTACATTTTTAGTCAAAGGGCTGAAAATTAACAAGTGTGGGTTCAGGAAAAATTGTTTAAAAAAATCTCTAATAGATACAGCTATTATTTTAGTTCAGTTTGTTTCTCTAACTTTCAGTTAAATGTGTGCAAAATTTATTACAAGTACACTGAAAATTTTCGGAGATATGATGTACACAAAAATTATTTTTCAAAGTCGTTTTCTCATAATTTAATGCCACAATTTTTTTTATGGAAGTATACAATATTTGTAAGCAAAAAGTGTGTTTTCTGTGATATTTTCACCACCCTACTTGATTTAAAATAAGTAAAGTAAGGCTAATTTTCAAAAAAGTCAAATTAGGGGGTTTAAGCTGTCCTTTAAAACACTTGTCAATTACTTCCATTATAATACAACAAATCCCGTGGTAACATAACATCATATACTAGTGGTGTCTGATGTTTTTACACTCATACTTGTAAAAAGTGAACTATAGTGTACCAAAGCTAAATAGTGTGTGTTGTGTACAACAATAGACTGATTTGACAAGGGGGGAGTTATGACGTGGTTCTTTGGACACTTCACAGTTACCGAGATTTGAACCCGTGTCTAGTGGGTTAACAATATATAGATATTTTGTAAATATACATTAATGGACACCAACAAGGTACATTTAGTTTAGTGAAACTAGACACAATTTTAGATTCAGAAGCGGACGGGAAGAGGTAAAGTATTTTTTAATCTCGATTTTAGAAGTTATAGCAATACACATCCTAGTAAAACAAACAAACAAACAAACAAACAAACAAAGCAACTGCATTCATAAAGTTAAAACATTACAGTAGGCCATAGTTTTGACAATGCTTTCGTGTGCTGTGTATTATACAAAAAGTACAAAACGAAATGGTATGCGGATAATTGTATCGGATGATAAGAATACAAGATTTAAACCAGCGGACTTTAATTCGAACTCACGTCTGTTGGGTTAGAGGTCGTTTAACAAGCCACTCGACCACACAGTCCCTGACTCACAAACTGTCTCACATTTTTAAATACATCTCTAAAGGAGCATTAAATACATTGGCTATTATTGTGAGTTTTGTGTTTCATTTATGTTAACAGTTCAAACTTTTGTTTGAAGACTTTAAAGTAAACACCTTTTTTTGTTTAAAAGTAGAGTTTTATTGTGTACGAGCCGACCCGCGGCATATCATACGCCGCTATTTAGTTGTTTTATTTTCTACTTTTCAGTAATCCATAATTTGTGAATTCGACAGTACCAATGAAAATATTTGCTTTAAAACACTATCAGTAGGTAGTTAAGGACGATACCCCCCCTCCTTTCCTCAACCCCTAACCCCCCCCCCCCCGTGAAAGCAGCCTCATCTTAGCTACCTCCCCTAAGTTTAAAATCGTTTCAAACTAAATTATCTGCCCCTAATAGTCGTCACTAAACCCGGCTCTGCTTGTAAATATTTAGCGTGAACCACAGCTCACCAGACCATGTAGGGGTGGGGGTGGGGGTGGTAGGGAGCGCGCTCACAGCTTGTTTTCTAGCGTCTCCCAGAAGAGAATTATATATATATATATATATATATATATATTCTTAATTTTAAAATCATTTGAGTTTGATTTCCAAAACAGAGTTTATATTTCTATGTTTAGTCTAGATGGGTCATATTCACAGAGAAATAAGTGTGACACAAATTTGTTTTGAGAAATGTGACACAAATGTGCAGGAAGAATGCGATATAAATTCACATAGAACAATGTGACAACAATTGGCAGATAAAATGTGACACAAATGCACAGAGATAAATGCATTTTGTGTCATTCACTGAGATAAATATTGTTTTTGGTCGTATTGGAAGAGATAAATATTGTCTTAGACCACAAGGAATGAGATAAATATTAAAGTAAAACGCATTGAATTATATTCTAAAGGAAAAACATAAATAACATTACACTATTTTATGAATTGTGTATTTTAATTATACATCGATTTGAAACGACAATTTGCCGTTTCCTATGCAAACTGTCTCTGGTTTATTTGAGCGGAGATGAGTTAGAGAATTTCTGTGATATAGAAATTAGAAGCCTTTGCAATACAATACAACTGAAAAACACTTGCCTATTACTTCCATAAAGATAAAACAAAACATGATGTACAATTACATCAAATACTAGTTGCATAATTACTGGGCTGTTTTTTACACATATACATGTCAAAACTAAAACTTGTTGAGGCATTACGCGAAACATTAGTGTGTGTTGTGAACGATAATCGACTGTATGGCGTGGTTCTTTGGACACGTTACAGACTAGAACACGGAGATTTGAACCCGTGTCTATTGGGTCAACATTCGTGTGCCCTACCACTCGACCATACCGTCCCTTTTATAAAAGTTTTTCAAATCTTTATCTCCAACTGTGCATCAAAAATATTCGGGTTGTGAAATTGGTTTGTATATTATAAAGAATTTACACGAACATTTTCTTTGAAAACTGTTGATTTAGGACATTTTATTTAATAAAATACTATTCGAAAGTCATGAAAGAATGTTAGTCTTATAAAAATCTGCACACATATCTTTAAACACCTTTTATGATGCGACGTGAGCCATAGGGGCTGAGACGTTTTATCGCGACCACATAGCATTGTGTCATATTGTCGTGGGTCGCTTTGTATTGCTTTTAAAAGAACATAAATAACAATAACATATTTTTTAATATGTACTTTTATTATACAATTATCTGAAACGACAAGTTGCCTCTGTCTTGGTAAAACTAGGCAAAATTTGAAGTTAAAAATTGAAAGAAAGATGAAGTAGAGTTTCCGGTGAGGCCAGATAGAAATCGTGATAATACACATCCAAGAATATTATCACAGTATCAACTAGGCTGATTGAGAAAAACGAAGCTGTATGTACAATTATTATAAACATTAGTGTCTCTAATGTAGATAAAATTGAGTTTCTGTGATTTTTGAGTGAAATCATATAATTATAATTGCAAGTAAAAAATAAATCTTCATGTACCATTTCTACAAACATTGCATGTAGCGTATTTTAATTGGGTAAATTCATGGACGTGATTTGAACTCGTGTCTTCTGGGTTACAATTCCTGTACCCAGCCACTCGACCACTGACACCCTGACACTAGTCTCTATAAAATCTATAAATTGTTGGTTTGGATTGTACGATTTAAATTTGATTATGGAAAACTATGAACAAAACATTTCGTTTGAGGTCTAGAATAGTGAGACTTTTCAACATTGAGTTGAAAAGATAGTAGAATAGTTTGTTGCTTGTTTGTAAAAAAAAGTTCTTTCAACAGATTGAAACACATTTCACGCTACTCTGTTTTCTATGCTTGATGTTGTAGTTCGTGAGGTCGTGTGAAATCTGATATTGATTCAAACCTAGCATTTCACTAGCTTGTGATTGATCCATCGAGTTACCTGCTCTTTGAGTCAGCTTATATGTTCTAAGTCATGAGCGTCATCAGTGTAAAGAAGGATGCGGTGCGGGAGGGGGGGGGGGGGGGAGAATGTTGGA